TGGGTGCCCTGACTCACTGCAGGTCCCGTTTGCAGTCCTGCACAACAGGGAGAGCCAGCAGGACGGGCTGAGTGGGCAGCTTGGGGAACAGGCAGCAGCAGGAAAACCTGGCCCTCCCCTCCCTGGGTGGGCCTATAAAAGAGCCTGAAGTGGGCCTGGGGGGATGGGAATGACCACTGGGGGGGTTGTCCTCACACCCCGATCTGTATCCCCCACTGGGCACTCCAGACCAACAACAGATGTGGTTCCATTCTGTGGTTCTGAGCCCGGCAGTCCTCCACTCCAAGCCTGTTCTGGAACTGAATATGTTGGGTGTGTTGCCTCTGGTGCTCCTTCCATTTGCAAGGGACTCCAACCCAAGGATAAATTTCCTCCCCACTCAAATGTTGGCTCCAGCACCACCGCTGATCCATCTTTGGATGAGAAGTTTGGGGTCTTGGCTCCAGTATCACCTACAGAGGATCTCCAGCTCTACATGAATCAGTTGGTCAGAATGGCCCAGGCTTTGGAGTTGGATATAGTCTGTTAGATCTGAGATCTTTTGATCTGTTACTCTGGGTGGCATACTCCAGCTCATTGGGTTCAGTTGTCTTCCTGATTTCAAGGTTTGTTAGAGACTCCCACTTCCATTTGGAATAGGCATTACTTGGTACATCCCTCTGCACTTAAGTTGGAGAAAATGTATAGGGTTCAACAGGAGAACTGTAAGTTCCTGTTCATGTACCCTTCCTGCCAGTTCCCTACTGGCAGAAGTCATGGCTTCTATGCAGAGGGCAGGCACTCAATCCTCCCTATTGGATAAGGAAGGGAGGATGGCCTAGGTAGAAATGTTTGGTCCTCAGGGATGTTGGCTTTTGGTGTAGGCAATTACAGTGCAGTAATGACCCAATATCAGTTATTCCTAGTGGACGATGTCTCCACATACTTAGATGTTCTCCCTGATGACAAAAATGTGTTGGCTAAGCTGAGTCAAGCTGAGGGCATTAAGTTGAGCAGATCAACACTGCTAGACAGTCTGTTGACCATATAAGATGGGTGATGACCTCTGCAGTGGTGTGCAGAAGGCACTCCTGCCCTCCCTCACAAGACACAAACCAAAATGGAAGATCTGCCTTTCAAGAGGAAAGAGTTGTTCAGTATAGAAGGTAAAGGTAAAGGTTCCCTTGCTCGAAACCCAGTCGAATCCGACTCTAGGGTTGAGGTGCTCATCTCTGTTTCAAAGCCGAAGAGCCAGCGCTGTCCGAAGATGTTTCTGTGGTCATGTAGCCGGCATGACTAAACACCAAGGCGCACGGAACACTGTTACCTTCCCACCTAAGTGGTACCTATTTATCTACTTGCAATTTCTTGCTTTCGAACTGCTAGGTTGGCAGGAGCTGGAACTAGAGATGGGAGCTCACTCCGTCATGCGGCACTCGGGTCTCGAACTGCTGAACTACTGAACTTCCACCGCCTGCGAACTGACAAATCCTTTGACAGGATGTGAAAGGAAAAAACGTACTGCCAAAACCTTGGGGATTGCAGGTCAACCAAACTCATTCAAAACCTGGTACTTCCCAAGGCATTAGGCCAATCCCAGTCCTGTTCATGCTTTAGATACCAGCCAACGTACCAACTCCCATACCGGCCCCAGAACAGAGGGCAGCAACAGGGGACAAAAACCAAGGAAAGTCTTAGAATAAGAGTGCTAACCAGTCTCCTAGGTACCAGCCCAACAGTGACAAGTCTTTCCAATGACTAGAGGTAGTCAGAAACACAATGCATTGACCCCATGCACCATTCCTAATGGAGGTGTTTTTCTCATGTCATTATATGTTCCTTGGGGCAGTAGCCATGCAGGGAGAACCTGCTTAAAGGTTGGAATGTGTCTGAATGACATAGGCTCAGGTCACACAAAAGGTTTTGGGCCGGGAGAGGGACAGATCGGGGGCGCAGTAAACGGGCGCGATCCCACCACAACATCTGGGAAACGTTGCGCACACGTCCCCGATCCGGCCCTACAGGCCAAAAAGCCGCATCTAAAATAAGCCACCTACAGAGGTGGACTTACCAGCATGGCCGCATCAAGCGTGGCCGTGGGATCGCCGGCACGTCCTTCTGCCGGCGCATCCAAGACCCCTGGCCGAACTGCGCATGCTCACACATGCGCAGTTCGGCAGCCTCTGT